CAAAACCTTACATTAATTTTCTTAAGAACTTTGAGAATAAGATATTTGAAGTTAGAAAAAGGAAAACATACACTGTTTTCCTGAATGGGAATTTAACATGAACAGCAGTGCAATTTCAAAGCACAGAAAAGCTAATTTTTTTTTTTATTGGACTTTTACTAGTCCACAGTGTAATTAATGCACAGTAAAAAAAAATTCTGAATCTTGCATTTATTAGTTGTTGAACTGGAAGAAACCTTACTGTTCTGTTAATTACTAATGGTATGTAGAATATTGATGTACTTAGTTAGAACTTTGCCATAAAGTAGTCAAATCCTTGCAGTTGAGGTAGACTAACAGATTTTATTTTATGTTTCTTAAAGGCAACTGTATAAATATGTAAGTAATGTACAGAGAGTTTGAAGATTTAACATCATTTCTTTCAGGAACAGGTTTTAATGGAAAACTTTTTGTCTGGCTAAGAAGGATTAAAAATAAATTAATGGCTCTTGCAGACCAAAAATACAGCACTCTTAATAAAAGAAAATCTAGATTGACAAACACATGTCATCCAAACAAAAAAAAAACAACTGTCTGCAGATGCAATATCTGAAATACACTTTACTGTTTCACTATGTCTATTTCAGATGATAGTTCTGATTAATCAGCCATGTGTCATATTTCATACTGTATAATTTCCAGAACAAATCTTTTCCTGCTAATAATGACTTTTTTTCAGGCACATATTTGAAATTGGGTGCATGAAGAATCCAAGTCTTTTATTTTTCTGTGATGCAGCCATTTTAGTACCTGCCTGTTTATATGAGAAGTTACTTCATTTTGCAGATAAGGACTCAAAGGCAGGAAAATAAATTACAGATCTGTAGAACCAAAAAGTTGGCTACTAGTTTGTTTACCTTGCTATTCATAGTTAATAGCTGTGTACCACTTTGTCATTTTCTTGAGTGTAAAGTGAGATTAAAAAAAAAACCTGCACCCTGTAGATAGAGCATCTTCAGAAGTTTGGGTTCATCCTAATCAATAAAACAGAGCTAGGAATTAAATTATTTATTGAATGAGCTAGTCATTCTCCATTGTTATGGGAGTATTCCTCTTGTAAATGCTAGCCAATCTACAAAATGCTACTTTGATTTCTTTTTTAATTAATTTTTTTTAATTATTAACGGAATGTAGAAATTCCATTATTGCTCAAAGATAAGAAGCGATTTGGTTTTAAATGAACATTTTCTTCCTAGATTGATTCTTAGTTTTTTTCTCAACTGTAACAAAAGGGAACTTTGCTTGTCAAATCTGAAGCAGTCACAGGTTTTTTTAGACTTCTGGTTTTTACTGAGATCCTTAAAAGGCTGCAGAAATTGATGTTTAGTTTGCTCAGCGGCCATTTCTGGAGGTAGAGTATATCCTTGAGTTTGGAGTTGTGTTTTGCCTGTTCAGTGTCTATGTAAAATTGCAACAACAAACCAAAAAAAATAGGTTGTTAGTCTCAGTATCCGAAAGGATATAAAAGAAACAGCAAATGATTGTTAGTAACTGTGTTCTGGGTTATTAATCATACCAGAGCCACTCATTTAAAATGTATTCTGAAATCTTAACTTTAAAATAGCATATACATTGCTAAGTATTTCTTTAGTAAGAACACTTCACTTAGGCTTCTATTTATCAGTTCCATGCAGAAGTGTATTTTGACCACGATTTGCAAAATTACGTTCTTGTGGATCAAGGCAGTCAGAATGGAACAGTTGTTAATGGAAATCACATTCTTCAGGTGAGTACCTGTTTATAATGCGACATTGAAGAAAACTTTAGTCATATGGGCTTCTTAAACACATTATGGCAAATCACTAACAACATCATTGTAGGTTCTTTCAGACATTTGTCTTTTCATTGTTTCCCTTCTCATTTTAGGGCTACTTAAAATATTTTATGTTTTCTTTATATTAGGTTGCAATGGTTGCAGTTGCTAGTGTGAAATACCCACTGCAGTTGAACACTTATCTGTATTTGTCAGACTAAGTTGAATTAATAAATTATGAGAAGTATTCATGAAATAGAATGCCTTTAGAATAGAAGTACCCTTCATTAGTAACTAATTAACATGGGTTTCAAAACTTTCTTTTGCTGTAGCCTAAAACAAAATGTGATCCCTACATCTTGGAGCATGGAGATGAAGTGAAGATTGGTGAAACTGTGCTTTCTTTTCACATACATCCTGGCAGTGATACTTGTGATGGATGTGAACCAGGACAAGTCAGAGCACATCTTCGCCTTGACAGAAAAAAGGAATCTTCTGGTTAGTCATGTTATTGAGGATATGTTTGTTGGGTTGGTCTTTTTTTTTTTTCATTTTGGCTCTTTATTTTTATGGCTGTTTATTTTATAAACATAATAACTACTTCAGTTTTCTTAGTTTTTTTCTGACCTAGGAATAGTGCACAATACATGTGTCGTGGTTTAAGTCCAGTCAGTAACACAGAACCACGTAGTCGCTCTCTCACTACCCCCCTTCCTCCCCACCCCCACTCCTGGAGGGATTGGGAGGAAAATCCAAAGAATGTAACTCCCACGGGTTGAGATAAGAACAGTCCAGTAACTAAGGTATAACACAAACCACTGCTGCTGCCACCTATAATAATAATGATAAGGGAAGTAACAAGGGAAGAGAATACAACCACTCACCACCCGCCAGCCGATATCCAGCCTGACGGAGCAGTGATCTAGCCCTTCTAGGTAACTGCCCCCAGTTTATATACTGGGCATGACGTGCTGTGGTATGGAATACCCCTTTGGTTAGTTTGGGTCAGGTGTCCTGTCTCTGCTTCCTCCTGGCTTCTCCTCCTCCCTGGCAGAGCATGAGACTCAGAAAGCCCTGGTCAGACCAAACATTTCTAAGCAGCAACTAAAAACATCTGCGTTATCAGTGCTGTTCCAAGGCTGAAAGTCAAAAACACAGCACTGCACCAGCTACTAAGAAGGAGAAAAATGACTGCTACTGCTGAACCCAAGACAACATGCTGATGTATTTTTTCTTGGTCTGTGTGTCCATGTGTAGTAATACTAGAATAAAAACTCTCACAGTTGTCTTAAGTTTCAAAATATTGTTACATTATTAATTAGAAAATCAATCCTGTGTTCTTCCTTTTAGTTTGCCCAGCACTTAGCAAAGAAGAGAGAGAGTTAGTCAGAAGAAAAGCATTAAAAAAAATACGGGAAAAATATGGTTTACAGGTGAGTTTAAAATAGAAGTTGATTAAGGGTTTGATGTCTACATCTATTTTGTGATTCCTATGTTAAGTCATAGAATTCAGTGAATAAGGAGAACTCTAAAATTCATTCAGACTTGGGCCTGGTGATGATGGCAATAACGTCACACACATACCTTACAAAGTATGGCTGTAAGGTAAGAAACCACTAAATGAGAACTGTGTGGGTTTTTTTGTTATAAGATGGACCTGGTAGTTTAACTCAAGTTTGTCTTTTGCACACTTAATAATAATTATTTACAAACCTTTACAGAGAGAAATGATAGTAAGAGGTGATGAAAGTTGTGTTAAAAGTTTAGGAAAAGAAGATTCATTCTACTGTGTGCAAGAGTCTTCATCCTTTTGAGCTTAAGATTTTTTTTTTTTTTAAAGTAATTTCAACTTTTATTTCTGCAAATTAAGTTTGCACTAAATTGCAGTGCTATTTTTTATTTGGAAAGGAAAAAATAATGAGCAACTGAAAAACTGATGGAAGGAAGAGGGAAATTTTTTAAGTTTTTATTTTAAGTCTGATTTGCTATAGAAGAAAGTCAGCATGAATTTACAGGCAATATAGTATGTAAGTATTCTAGTTACTTCTGTTTTGGAGATTATTTTCTTGGGGTTACATCTAGCACTTGTCCTAAGTATTTGTGTAGAAATCAGAATGACATCAATTCTCTCAAATTCTTGAGGTACCAAAATAATACCAATATGGCATCTATACACACGCTTAGTTCTGTCACCTATTCTGAAGAAATTAATTGCCAAGGAACAGGCGAATGTTTAAACAGAAAGCATGTCTGTATAGTTTTTTGCTTAAAATGGAGAGATTGGTTCTTCATACCAAGTGGAGATTCAGGAGAACCTATTAATTTATTTACAGCCTCTGAAATTAATGAATTTGGCAAAATAAAATTGTTATGTGATGATGGCAATAACATCACACACACCTTACAAAGTATGGCTGTAAGGTAAGAAACCACTAAATGAGAATTATGGAGTTTTGTTCTAAGATGTAGAATTAATGAAATAGACTGAAAATGCCTTACTTTTGGCAGCAGCAAAGTTATCAAAAATAAAGAATGTAAAGTCCACTTTATTTCTCCTGATGGTATTTAACCTGCTTATAAAGAACACAGAGTATGAAGACAGTAAAGCACTGAAGAATCCAAAGTACAAAGACAGAGCGGGAAAACGCAGAGAGACCATTGGAAGTGAAGGAACCTTCCAGAGAGATGATAGTCCAGCATCTGTTCATATGTAAGTTTGATGGGGGGATGGGGAGACTGGTGTGAGTGGAAGGGAGGCATCTTCCATGTCTTCAGTGAATCTTAAAAAATTACGATAAAGAAGTACTAATTTGTTACTAGGATACAGTTTGTTAAGTATTCATTACCTATATATAATGTGTTAAGAGATATAGAAAATAGTAAACTGTTCTCAGTTAGTAGTTCATATGCTCTTTCTCACCTTCCGTACAGAATTGTTTGCCTGTAAGAATGGTTAGATCACTTCCTTACCAACTCAAAACAGAAAGAACTCTCCAGCTGCACTACTAACACCTTCAATATTATCTTTTTCAAGTGCCTCAGCTTCTATTTTTCTTATCCAGTCCCACTAATGGTACACACGCAGATTTTTCACCTGCAGTTTCTTTCACTGTCAATACCCAGCTTATCTTAGGATGTAACGACACTTGCTTTAGTCTTCCTCTTTGATCATTCCTTTCTGTAGTTGTAGTGACGTTTTCTTAAAAAAAAAAAAATGAACTTGTAGGTTAGTAAAAGGAAGTATGAGACAATGAAATATGTGTTAGGATGATTTGGTGGTGAGGCAGCGATACTGTCTTTTACTTAGTGCAGTCAGTTCCCACCCAGAAGTTAATTCCAGAAATAATTAAGTAGTTCAGAAGGACTTTTATGTTGGTATTGACCAGAGGCTTGAAATAACTTTGGTAATATTCATGAAAGAACTTGCAAAATGTAGCACGAGTGTATCCTGCATAGCTCTTTGTGGAAGTAGGAATAGTATCATAGTTGAGTCCTGGTTTCTAGAGCATGAACATTTTTTGGTATTTGGGTAGAGAGCATACTGTTTGTATTAACTCTTGCTTATCAGTTATCTTAAACTTTCTTCAAAGTGAAATCAGCAACAGCAATAAAGGACATAAAATGTTGGAGAAGATGGGATGGAAGAAGGGGGAAGGCCTGGGCAAGGATGGTGGTGGTATCAAGGATCCGGTAGGTCTGTCTGGATTTTACTTGGAGCAAAAAGGAATAGAAATGTAATTGCAGTGGAAAACGTGCAATTGTAAGCCACTATTCACTTAAAACATTTTAAATTCCTGGTTAGGAAGGAATAATTAGTAGGGCTAATCTCAAATCACTTAATGAAGTATTTTGAAATTTTTCAGTGATTCTGTTCCTTAAGTAGAAAATGCCAGTAATACCAGTGTTTGGTAGGGAACAGGGGAGTACAGGCAGCTTCTAGCAATTAAAAAATCTCATAACTGAATATAAAGTCTGGAGGAAGATTGAAATAATTTTAAGTGATAAGAATGCAAGATGGACTTGGTGGAATTCTTCACTTTCTCTGAGGCTGATGTGGCACAAAATCAAGCTAGGTGAATGGACCATGAGGAAGAAACAACTGGCTAAAGTCACTGCAGCCATCAAGTTCTGGGCCTCTGCGGCAGCCCCATTTTTGTTCACCAGGGATGTGCTGTCTTTTGGCACTAGGGCTGCTCAGAGCCACGCTGTACCTTTTGTTGTCAGACTACCCAGCACAGGGATTATACACCATTGACTCAGTGAGGAATACTTCACAGTTAGTGGCAGGTTACATCATTCAGCACTCCAGCTCATAGTTCCAGAACTGATGATTTGACACATCTTTTTAATAGTACTTTAGATGTCTGCATATGATCTAGGTATATTCTTCACTATGAGGGTGTGCCAGTGAGGCACTGGCACAGGTTGCCCAGAAAAGTTGTGGATGCTGTATCGCCAGCAGTGTTCAAGGCCAGGTCTGATGGAGCTTTGAGCAACCTGGTCTAGTGGAAGGCGTCCCTGCCTGTGGGAGGGGGTTCCAAGTAGATAAGCTTTAAAGTCCCTTCCAACCAAAACTGTTCTATGATTCTACGTTATTAGAGGCTTAAAGAAAAGCGCTTGGGGATGGGGGTTGGAATTAGTATTGTAAAACATGATTAAAAAGTATTTAGAATACCTAACTTGCAGTTACCGTATTTAATGTATTTGACAGATTCACCTTCAGTTACGCAAGATGCATGCAGGTTTGGGTACCAGTAGACCAGCCTCAGCTGATGATGTTCAGATCGTCCAGAGCAAGAATAAAAAGAACTGGGATAAAGCAAGAGAAAGGTTTGCTGAAAACTTCCAAGAACCAAAATCACAAAAAGATACACCTAAGATTATACCTTGGGTTAGAGGGACTGTAGAGTGAAGTCCCACAGCAGGGTAATTCCTGTGTGTAAATAGCTGGGAGAGAATTTATTTTTATTCTTTGTTTCTTTTGCTAAAGCAGAAGTTTGGCAATATGTAAAATACAGTTGTGGAAAAAAATATACAAGACTAACTCTTATTAATTGGTTTTCTGTTGTTTTCATGCTTTTATAAAAACACATTTTTAAGAAAAAATGAATGGAATTTAGGGGCATATTCAAATGAAGTACTTGAAAGTGATTATCATCACGAGCAGGATATTTCCTCAGTTAACACTTTCTTCATGGAAAGTCAATACATCTGTTAAATTAAAATATTATATACCTTTAACATTTGAACAGTGGTTAAAAAGAAATAACAAAAAAAATAATTCCCCAGGGCCCTACTAACAGAGAATTATAGCCCTTTTCCTTTCCTCTATTTTGTGCTTATTCACGATTGCCATGAAATCCTCAGCAAAAGAGATACACCACTCTTAAATTCATACACTTTAGTACTAGTTACATGTCTCAGCTAAAGAGGGGGAAAAAAACTTGTTTTTTAAACAATTCATCCATACTGTTCAAAAATAAATACTCCAGAAACAAACTACCAGGTAGCATTAGTGAAGAAAATATTTTTCAAGAGACTGTAGTCAAATTTTCTTCTATGAAGAACTTCCTTGAGATTTGTTTAGTAAATCTCATGCCTTTAAAACAGGAGGTATGTTTAGAATACAGCAATATTTTGTGGGTGTGTGTATTAACTTCTTGTTCTGATACATCCATTGCTGGCAATGGAGTTTATGCCAGAAAAATAAACCAACCAACAGATTTTTGATGGGGAAAGTTTGCCAAACTGAAACTAAGAGCTTGGTATTTATTGAATGTTCCTAATCATAATAAATCACTGTTGATTTAAGCACTGTGCTTCTTGCTAGGAGTGCTCTTCTAAAATGAGAAAAACTTAATCCCAATTTAGTCAAGTTAAAGCTCTGGTACTTGTCCAAGCACTGGAAATCTGGTAGTCTCAGCATCATACTGGAACATACATGCAACTGTAAAGCACTGTTGAATAAAACCAGGACAAGTTGCTATTTATCTTGATGTATGTTTAGACACATACAGTATAAAGCCAAATATTTGATACGTTATTTAAATCATTAAAGCACACGTTTAACAACCTGAAGCATGCTTTTAGCAGTAGACAGTTGAAGATACAGTTACAAGCACTGGATGCCTGCAGCAGTATTAATTTAATTTAAATCAGTTCACTGCTTGCCTTTATACACAGTTGGGATTTTTTTAGTGACTGGTATGAATTTTTGGCTCACTTTGCTGTTGCATTCCTTTAAATTGACAGCTTCATGTTTTCAGAGGTAATCCATTTATTTCTAGCTGAAAATAAGTTTTTTGCCCCATCCACCACTTTTTTTTAAGTTGACCTCTGTGGTCTTCAGAGTAGATCAGAGAACAAATCTTGGTTTCAAGGGAGAGCAGGACAGACATCCTGAACATACATTAGTAGGAACCTAAGCTTTCCCTCAGTTATTCAAATAACAGTTCTAAGAAAGTCCATCATTCTTTTATTGTTGCCCTGCAAAGAAGAAACTCGACAGGATGTAACTGAGTTTACATTTCATAAAGCTTTTGAAATAAGACATCATTTGCCTTCTGTGAGAGGCATGGTCTCGTGCAGTCAAGCACTGATTGCTTTCAGTACTGTGGCTTCCTCACAGTACCACTTCAAGTACAGTGCCACTTCAAGGGTTGATCCTTAGTCTCAGTTTACCATTGGTGTGACATATCCAATTATCTCTTGCAGCTGCCTAGGAAAGTGGAAAAAGTGGGGCAATTAATACACACAGCATTGTTAACAACTGAATATACTGCCTAATTCTCATCTAGCACCTGTGTACCTTTATTGAGTAGGAAGACTTCACTTGAGTTAAATAGAGCTTTTCATCCCCTGCCTTAGTGACCTCTTAAAATGTTTTAAGTAAGTTAGGTAAAAGCCACCAGTGGTGTGCAAGCCTTATGTGCAAATGCAGTACTGCCTTCCCTCATGTCAGGAGGGGAACATGAGTTGCCATTGCACTATTATAATGTTGGAGGCTATAACCAGTAAAGTACAGTATGAAGTCTTAACTGTCTTACCTTCTCAGTCCTCCAGCCATCCTGTTGTCTTTTCCAATTTATGATACTTGATCACTTAAGACAAAGTTGCTTTCTATACATCCAAAGTTGTTTTAGTAATTGATTGTGTGTATATAAATACTGCTAGGGAATACATATAATCTCAAAGCTGTTAAAAATAACATTACATTCATCAGTTTACACAAACAATTTATTTTCTGTAGTCCCAATAGTGAATGTTGCAAAGCACTGACATTGCTGAGATTTAAACTAAACTAAAAAGAGTAGGTACGTTCGTATCTTCAGTGCTTACTAACCCAGCTGGCAAGTAAAAACAGCGCATTCAACACTGTGAAAACCATAGGACTAAATACCTCGTGGCTCTGAACCATTGTTACATATATGACATATTTTTACAAAACATACAACAGACGGAGTTTCTGTTCTAGAAGGAACACTTCCTTTCCTGCTGCAAGTGGCTGTATGAAGTGTACTGACTGGACCTTTCTGCCAGTACATAACAAACTCGAAACAGCCGGAAGAGATGTCAAAAATGGCATCTGGGTATGATCCAGATGAACTGTACTTACCAGCGGGCTTTGTTCTATATGGAGTTTATGCAAGTGCTGCATATCTTTGTGACCACTAAATGTGGCATTTTTATGTCACCCAGTTACTGCCTTCTACATGTTTCAGCTGCATCTTAGTTTAATGTGACAATGCCACTGTTGATGAACATACCTGCATACCAGTTTCCGTGGCCCAGCCAGCACTTGGTGCAGCCCTGCAGTGCAGCAGGGCACCATCTGCTCTCGTCCATTTGTGCCGAATGGTCTCGGTGTTACTGCAGTGCTACAGTAAACAGGGCACACGCGGCCTCGCCTGCTGCTTCTCAGCCGCCTTGGTTAAGACAAGGCAAAAAACGAGGTTACGGCCTGGCCTCCCGGCCGCCGCGACTCTTCCAGCGCTCACCCGCGGCTCTGCCGGAAACGCCGGGCAAAGGCCCGGGCCCAGCAGCACCTCCCGCCGCTTCCCCCACTCCCCGAGCCGGCCGCCCGCCTCAGCACCCGGCTGGGAGCCCGGAGAGCCGCGCGGCCGTGACACCCGCCCGGCCCGCTCCGCCCCGGCCCGCCTTTACTTCCCCTCCGGGAGCGCCGCCATCTTGTCTCGCCTCTCCTCGATCCGTCCTATCCCGCCCTGCCGCAGCGGCGGCGGCACCGGCACCGCGAGGGGGAGGCCGAGGCAGGAGGGCCGGCCATATACGCCGGCGCCGCCGCGGAGCTCGGTGTGAGCCCCGCGTTTCAGTTTACAGCTGCTCCCAGCTCCTCTTCTCGTCCTGCCCCGCCGGCAGAGAACTGCCGCGCTGCTCCCTCGGCCTGGCCTCTTACGTGGGACCCTGCAGCCCCGGAGGAGAAGGAGGAGGACGGAATCCATCACAGTGTTAGCGTTAAGAACTGACACATAACCACCGGAATGGTTATATGAGGTTCTTTATTGCGGCGCTGGGAAACCAGGGGCACGCGCCCAAATCTGGCTTCGACCCCGTCACATCGCGATCGCAATTTATACACTAAAAATTTCGTAACTAATACATATACAGCACAGATTACAGCACTGACTAATACATATGCATTAACGATTACTTCATTAGTCCAGAGAGATCAGTCTCTTCTGCGCTTGCGCAGCCCCCTCTGGTGGTCGTCCCGATGAAGTAAGGAGTCTTCCTCCCATTATTCTTTTCACCTTTCTGCTCTTCGGACAGGCTCCAACCATTATGTGGACGCCAGCATTCTCACTTCCTCACTTGGCTTGTCCTTCTATGTTGCAATGATTTCACAAAGCTACCGATATTGCAGAGATGAAATTTTCTGCTGCTCAAGATATATGGTTTCTATTTCTAGACAAAGCTTCCTTGTAAGCAATACAAAAATTATGAACATCTGTATTACCAAGACGCACAGTTAGACAAAGCTTCCTTGTTATAAACTACAAGGTCTTAGGCCAGACAACCTGTGCCTTTCTTGTTATTTTGTTAGTTTCTACTGCTGAGGCTACCACAGCAAAGTTACAACATTCTTTTAATATACAGAAATCTACTGTTGATTCGAAAACTTTTCAAATATAGTCATTTCTATTGCTCTAGATAATCATTTTAACGTAAAATTTCACTCTTTTTCTAACAACAGAACAACGTGACGACAGACCAAACAGACAGAAAATGAGGTCCATACATACTAGTTCTAAAAAATAAATATATATATTAATATTTAGGATCAGGACTGATCCTAAGAGTGAATGAGTGGAGTCTCAGGAGTGATCCTGAGAAGTAAAGGACAGGAGGAGCCAGCACAGCCGGAGCCTCAGCCAGTTCTTGGGCCAGCAGAGCACCTCATCCAACAAAGAACCAACTTCATCAGCTGCTCCCTGACCTTTGGTTGTAAATGCCTTGCAGACCCCATTCCTCAGCCTCCCTGTGCTCTCTGTCTTCCCTCCCTCCCTTTTCTAACCACAAACAATGGTGGACTGACTTTGTCTTAGTAGTCTTACTTAGGTAAAGCCTTATTGCTGCTGCAGACAGTATGCTTTGGCCAAACCTCAGCTGTTGGGCTTTGTGAGACTAAAAAGTCTGCAAAAGGTAGTCAGGCTAGACTTGGTAGAACCTTGTATCTTGCACTAATATTGTTCATCTTTAATCATCTTTAACCTTTTCCCCCTTAAGTCCTTCACTTTCTTCTTCCTGTTTCCTCCATCTTTTTCTGTTAGACCTGTTTTTTTCTATTAGATTGGGGGGGGGGGGGGGGGGCATTCTATTAGATCACCAGGGTTTTTTTCTACCCATTGGAAAAAATATGTCAAAGTGTTGGTTAATAAAATAAAAAGGTGATGCTTACTTGAGTTACCACCATCACACTACTCAGTAGATTTGTTTTTCCAGCCTTTAATCTTCTTTATTCAGCCTGTACTACAAACAGGCAGGAATAGTCTCTAAAGTGTCCAGCAATGTTAAATAAGGCTTAGTGTGAATGAAAATTAACGTTGTAGTTCCTTAACTTCCTTGGAAAAACCCTAGTATTTCTGCTTGATTCTTTATCTGCACAACAGGAATAATAGCACTTGTTTTCACTCCCTCTTTAGGGATACTCAAAAACTGTCTAGACATAGTCCTGGGCAGCTGGCTCTAGGTTGCCCTGTTTGATCAGAGGATTGGACAGGATGAGCTCTAGAGGTCCCTTTGAACCTCAGCTTCTCTGCAATTCTGTGATTACTACAGAAGATGTGGTGAAGAGCTGACTTGCAGCTGTATACAACCGGGGTGGAGGCCACAGATGCCTCTAGGAAGACAGAAAGAAGTCCTGAACTGACAATAGCAAGTAAACAAACAAAAAGGCCAAGGAGAGTGGGCAGTTTGAGACTAATCGGCAAGAAAAATTTGCTGTTCAGCCTCTCCTTTCCCAGCCATCCTTGAGGTCCGGATTCATGACCCAAAAGAGGTGAAGCTGCAAGAAGAAAAAGCAAATGCGATGACTGAATGGTAAATATTAAACAGGAGTTTTGGAAAGTATACAGCTGGCTGTTCTTTAGTGTGAATGTCAGCCTATGGAGTGGAAAGGCTAGAACAAAACTCCCAACAAACCTGCCCAAAGCAGTTGGTGCTGCCCTGGTGGCAGGCACTGTAGGCCAGCACCGTCCTCCAACTTGGCAGGCCTAGCATTGCTCTAAGCAGTATAACAAAGAAACAATAGGTTAAAAAACAAAGTGATACAGTGCACAAATAAGTGGCACAGTGCTGGACCTTTTCAGCCTTTTAAAATGTCATATGCTTTATAAAGAGCAGTTCTTCATTGCATGACATTGTGCAAAGTCCTGGTCTTACAAACCTTTGCTCAGAGGCAGGTCTGACTGTTCATAGACGATTGCTCAGTGTGATGTAGGTACGCTGGTCCTCCACAAGTACAGTGGCAGGGAAAACAAACACTGCTGAGTTGTTTCTGAGGTGTGTTTTCTGTTTGGAGATTTTTTTGGGAGAGATTTTCTGATCCATGTTGATCTAGAATTTGGGGTAGGTTTTTTGGTTGTGATTCATGTGGGGAGAGCAGAGCTTCTGGCTGGGTGGGTTATTTGACCATGAGCAGTCATAAAAATTTTTACCAAGGAGGTCAGTGTGATCCAGAAATGATAACCAGGAAGCACCGGAGATGGGCTTTTGTGTTTTTTCTGGTTCAGTGGACAAGCCACCATCCAGCTGTTTTTAGTTTGTTTTAAGAATTTACAGGATTGGGAATGTAGTTGAGAAGTTCTTGACATGTGTGATTTGTGTGAGACTGTAGTTCCATTTTTCATTTTACCATATAAATGCTTCATTCTAGACATGTCTTTAGACAGCAGACTCAAGTTGGAAATCGAACATAGTACACACCAGGAGGAAAATTGAAAGTTCTTTATCCACTGCGTATCTTCAGTGTCAAATGTTGCAGGTATTCAAAGAAGGATAGCTCGTCTGGTTAATTTGCAGTATTTGGGATTTATTGTGCATTGAGGTATTTTTTGCATGTTTTAACTTGATGGGGAGATATTTGTGAAAGATGACTGCAAGTTTCAGCTTTATTTGTTTTCCCACGTCTGTAAGTGTTGCACCCTCAAGATACCCTGCCCCTGGACTGACACTTGAAGTCTGCACCTTGCTTGTTCAAATGCTGGTTTAAGTTGAATTTTGCCAGAGGCAGAGTTGAGTGAAAATTTAATGTGGATTTACGCTTGTAACCATTCGCACTTTGGGTAGCCACTGCTTGTTCTTCCTCAGACCTTCTGGAAATAAATGAGGTTAGCTGGTTCTTCCAAGGCTGTATCTTTGGAGTTATCCAAGGTATTGTGGAATATAGCAAAAATGTTGAAACGACTATCTCCAAAATGTGATGTGAGCCTCACCTGTTTCCTTACTGTCCTGAGACCTGCATTCAGGAAAGTGTTTCCTTTCCCCTAGACACTACTGACACCTGGCTGTGGTGATACTCCAGTTACCAATATTCACCATTAAAACTAATGAACTGCTGAGGCCTGAATAATCACTTAAGTCATTACAAATAAAGATTAAGCAGGCTTAGCTGAGTAAGGCTTATTTTTAAAATGCCACAGTGGATGCACTGTCAGGAGACCTTTAAGTTGAGACCTCAGTACACTTGAAGAGGCCTCCTGTACCAGCTGGCAGCAATATTAATAGCTGCCACAACTGATTTAGGTAAAGAATGTGTTTTCTTGGAGGATTTTACCTAATGAGACATGTCACTTTGTTCACCTTAGTTTTATCTTGTTTTGCTTTAAAAGGAAGAAGTTTTTGTTAAGCAGACATGAATACAGACAGTGTGCCTGGGTTTGAAAGCTTAAAAGAGCAGCCTACAAATTCTGGAATATAAGAGCAGGAGTCTCAACTGGGATGTCACCATGATTTCAGTGGGTGTGTGCTAACCTCCAGCAGTGAATAATCTGGACCCAAATGCTTATGGGCCAGTGTTAGTAAATAGATAATAGTGTGGGTGTTGGTACAGCAGTCTACACACATATACACATACCCTAACTCTGCAAGGTGGAGGAGAAATTAAAGCATTTACATTGAAGGAATAACATAACCCCAAACTGAGAAGTGTGTTCCTCTTTGACAGCACCATCCTTCTGCCAAATTGTTCCTGTGGCACCACAGCAATTAGCCAAGGAAGATCTTTCTATTGTAATTCATTTAGAAGCCCTGGTATGTTTGCTCACCTAAATGAAGCATTTAGCCTCTGCTACTATTCAGCATTTTGGGTGACAAGGGCACTAATAGTTGGCATAATCACAGTGCCAGCCAAATTGCAGCAATGTTACAGGTGTCAGGATGCTTGCTTATTTTCAAAACACTGCACATTTCAGATCGTGCATTTCTCATTTGAATAATTACATGTTTTATATTCTTTTGCATGCTG